TGTGTGTGTGTGTGTGTGTGTGTGTGTGTGTGTGTGTGTGGGCGCGCGCGCGCGCACGTGCGTGCGTTTGCACGTGTACGAGTAGTTGCGAATATACATAGATGCTGTACAGATGTAGGTGTAGATGCGAGCGTCGCATACCTGAGTGATTGATGTTGGTGCCCTTGTTGTTCAGCATCATGTCTTTCATCTCCATAACGACGGTGCTGTAGCTGTAGTACGGCGCGTACTTTAGCGCCTGATATGGCTCTTGGTAGTCATCCAACTTCACGATGTCCAGGAGACGATTCCCGAGGTCGCGCGGCAGAGTCGGCAGAGAACCGCCCGCGTATCTGAAAGAGAAGCGACCGATTGATAGCTACGATCTTTCATCTATTAGATAACGATAATTCAATAATTTTTCTCATAACCATATCATTTTCCCAATAACCGCAACGAAATGAGCTATTCCTTCCAAATTCAACGATGCATATATTCTCTTTTGGATATACAATCTATTTGTCATGCGATCTATCAATTTACTCAAATTACACAGACATTTTAGTGCTCTGTTTAAATCGTAATATTAATACGGTCTATCATTAAATATAAACCCATATATTGCATTTAAAGAGAATTACATATACAAAATGTATCGGCATAACTTCATGGACCGTACGGATCTTCGGTTTTCAAGAGCAGTATATTTTCCGCTCGGGAAAATTTTAGTGTGCGGAGCGCGCGGTCTGTCAAAGACCCAGCGCAACATTCGCACGCCTACTTGAAGTTGCACGTTACACGTTCTCTCTTTCGGTAGGAAGCTCGCAACTGCAATATCGGATTGCACAAAGCGGACGGGGTGCGCGGGAGGGGGGATCGATGCCGAAACTGGTGCAGGATGCTTAGGAGTTACGAGGCGGCCGGAGGATCTCCTTTGGAGACATTCGTGCCGCACAAACTCGATATATTGCCCGAGGATGTCCGTTATTGGACGTTATTGGACATTCGCTAACGAGCACGGTGGATGGAAAGTTTATTGGAAGGCCGCTTCCGTCATCTGAGCGTGTTCTGGGCGGACACAAACCTGGAAGAAATGAGGAGTACCGCCTCGGAGTACGGCGGTCATGTATTATCGTTAAACACGCTTCGCGATGCAAAAGCGAGTTCGCTTGGCTTTGTATCCGCTCGTCTAGACATCCATGTGACCGAGCAATAAACGAAAAAAAATAGAAAAAGAAAACATCAATAAAAAATAATAAATATGACTCAGAGTTTTCTCGTCTCTTATTGAGACGATAGTTGACCAATTTAATTATATCATAAATATTCGAGAGACATTTCATATTTTAATTAAAATATCGTGGCTCATTTTATATAATAATTATGCACACGCGCTCGTAATTTTATTTTACCTTTTAACAACTGGCACTTTAATCATAAGGAAATTCTGTCAATAAATATGCATAAAGATACATCGAGAAGACTGTACACCAGATTTTTTTCTCCCAGCATTTAAAATCGCACGGTTTTTAACAGTTTTTTTTTCTTTTTATAGTTAACTTTTTTTATTAATTATCGAATAATCGATTTACCTTTCATCGTCCTCCAAGGTATACGCCATCAAAGCCGCGCCTTTCTCGACGGTGGCGCAGGTGGATCCTAGATGCGAAGAGGCTTTACCGGTCATAGGGCTGGCGAAGCACTTACGTTGCCTGTGTCGCGAGACAATCAGAAATATCGCCACGGCGAGTGAAAGTATTACGGCGGTCAGCACGCCGATCACGACCGCCATGTACGTGGGGTCGTCGTGTTTCGCCGTCGAAACCGGAAGCTCGTCCTCGGCGGCGCCGTTCTTCTCAACGAAGACGTCACTCTGGATAGGTGATTCGGTTGTCGGCGCTTCCTCGGGCGTGAAATTGCCGTGGGCTATATCTAAATAAGAGAAAGAAAAAAAAATATTAAGTTTTCTCGAGGAGAGAATTGTAATTACATACATACGTGTGTTTTCAATTTTCGTCATTTAAATTTTCAAATTCTTCAGTATTTATTTATACATATTTAAATTTTCCCTGATTTTGTATAATTTTCTAGACATGTTAAGCGATATAGATGTCCAATGTAATGCACAACTGAAATTTGATATACTATATTTAATGTGCTTTGTGTGTGCGTGTGTGTGTGTGTATGTGTGTATCACTCTTGATTATTATGACATTATGATTGCAATTAATAACTGCCATTATTATTGTTTTCGCTATTATCTCTATTGTTATTATATTCGCTATTATAATTATATAATATTATATTACACGTATCATGTTTGCCATCCTTTAAAAAAAAAAAAGTTTACTACATACCCTGAAGTCTTTGAGAGATACACATATGGTATTATTAGAAAAGTTTGTTTTTCACCGTTTAACGCGAGTGGAATATATCGCTGTGGCGCTGAGGGCTGTGTACACAGCACGAGCATTAAGGAGTTTCTCTCACAGAAGGATGCGTCTAATATGCGCGTTAGAAATTAAGCTAATCGTGCATAAGGCGCGCGCAAAGATCTGCCTTTGAGGACTAAGGATTACAAAATATACGCGCGCGAGATAGATATAGATGCGTGAGAGCGTACAGGGCGTATAGGGCGTATGTAGAGCATATAATTAACCTATATGCGCTTTGGCATACGACTTCACTAAGGATGCCGCGAGGATGTGCGAAGGTTCGTTATGGGGAGGGTCGCTTGGTTCACTTCTCTCGTAAACGCGAGAGATAACGTTCCCCATTTATTATCATCGCGATATCGCATGAAAGAGAGACCGGCTGAGCTTTCAACGTGTAAACATATTATATTACGCTTTTGTCGATGGGCTGTTTTGTGCGCAAAAATTGCGTAATTAAACCCCCGCTGTTTGTTCTTTCGGAACGTAATTATACGCGTCACTCTCATGATGTTTAATAATGCGCTTTAACGAAAAACGATACGCTTTCCCGTTCTCTTGTCGTAGTAGCAGGGGGATTACGTTTCATCTTGCCATAATTATGAGAAGAGGGAGGGAGGGAGGGAGGGAGGGAGGGGAAGCGATGCATTAGATAAGAATTATTTTTCACGAGAAAGCACGAGACGAGATTGACAGCACGCGCTCATACAAACGTATGTATGTTTTTTTCTCTATTGTGCTGTATTGCTTGTGCTGTATTTGTCTCGGTTTTCCATTTTGTAGGATTAACATTCATACATGAAGATAATTCCTCCTAGCTTGTTTCCGTTCGAATGATTATCTATTATTTTATGATACGCCGGCAATTTTTAAATCCTATTTTCGTCACAGTTGACGTACTTCCATTTCGACGAATATGGTGTCACCCATTTCTGTCGTTGCATTTCACTCGCCCGGCCGACAGAACAAGAAATAACATACATACAGGAAGAAACGAAAAAGAATCACGCACACGGGAGCAACGTGCACGGATTCACGGCGCAGCTTCCTAGTTTGCCGTTGAAGCCTTTTTGCGTAGCATTCGCATGTGGAATTCTCCAGCAAGTTCTTGCTCGAATTTTTTACGCGGGAGCGCGCTACGAAAACTCTATTTCGTCGTTTTACGTGCAGTAAAATAACTTCGTTTTGATGCAATTTCTGCAATTTCTGCAAGATTGGGTCGGATTATCCTTCTAACTCCGCTATTTCCTAGAGCTCTCGCACAATACGTCCTTTGCAAATTGCGCGTGTTGCAAGGTGCAATTAATTAAATTAATTAAATATAATCACGAATTCTACCGGCGTGTATTTTTATGTTAACGTTTTGTATGTTAGTAAATCAAATAAACATTCAAGCATATCGTAAACGTCGGTAGGTTTAGTAGCTCACCCGGTGGTGCACGTCATTTCAGCTCTGAAATAATTTAATATCCCGTACACAGCGGTAATTGGCATATTTTTAATTGGTAACAACTAACAATTCATTTAGCGAATAATTTCAGGCAGACGATACATGCTGAACATGAAGAGAAATTAAATTCTGCTCCCGGCGATGTTTGCTTAATCGGCTAATAAGTTCATAACTATCGATATATTTTATTAACGGTTTATATAACTGAAACTCGATTTCAGTTTGATCAAGATTTGATTGAAAGCTTTTTATTGCTACAGCTTTCTCGTCTTCCTATGTTACATTACATCTTAGTAATCATAAATATCGAAAACAATATTTATATTATCAATACGAAAGTTAAAGAATTAAATCTTGTGCTTTAAGCTACAATATTAAAATGACTTTTATTCAAAAGATTTTTGTCATAATCACTCGGGATTGACATTATATATATTAAAGGAACTGAAATACTTTTAAGCCCTTAGGAATTTGGAATCCGTTTTGGAAGTATATTACCATCCAATTTCAGAATATCCGGCGTTATGATTTAACTATTATTTTTATTATATTAAACATACTTTCGACACCGACAAAGACTTCCTTTGCGCAGAAACGTTGGAACGTCCGCCTCGCGTCGCAGCAAGATTCTAATTTAAGAAAAACGCGACGCATGCGGCGTATACTTATACGCCGCATACTTATTCTCGCGAGAGGAGGAGGGAGAGAAGGGAGAGATATCTCCCGAGAAGAGGAAGCTCGTCCCCTGGATTTTCCGCGAGAGTCGCTCTGGAATATCCAGCGCAGGAATATAAATTTCTTCGGGTGCAATCCCGACGCGCGCTTTGTGAGTCGTCTCGGCGTGATCGTTTCTCCGAGACGGCCGAGGCAAGTGTAACGTGCACAGAAGCGCGAAGGGAGGCCAGCCGAAGATGATAAGGAGGTCCGGAAGGAGAAACCACGCCGCAGGAGCTCGTTGTTGAGCTCACAGCCCCGGAATCTTCGCGCGTGCGGTATTCCGTCGCGGAATTCCCGGCGGGATTTACGCCGGACAGAAACAAAGCCGTCGTCGCGTTTGATATGGCTGGCCGGGCATCATTCATGACGCCGGCGGGACGACCTCCGACGAAAGGCCCGTTTCTCGACGCGATCCCGCATGGAAATCTGATATGAAACATTCTTCGCACCGGTGGGTGGTCGTGTGGATTTGAATAAAAAAGGTCTGACGGTTGTCGCCGCGCGATTTCGCAAAATTGGCCGCGTGTGGTTGCGATATCGACGACAGTAAATTCTCGAGTCTTTGAGGGGAAAATTAAATTGGTAATATGGATTATTACTACGATTTCTATATTTATATTTATGCGAACAAAGTTTATCATAGATTTAAAAATATGAGAAAAAGATTCTTAGAAGAGAAAAAAAATTATATAATTTTTTTAATTTCGTTTCGATGTACCAAGATCGGTGCGATGTTGCGTTCGATTACAGTCGAAAAAAGAAAATAAACGAAATTTGCATCGAATAATTCGGTAAACATGCCGTTTCCCTTTGAATAAATATTTTCCAAAGTACATTGTGTGCCTGGAATCCGCATGATATCGTTTAATTATAGCATCACACCAACTCGCGATTATTTCGCATTAAAACAATGAGAGAGAGAGAAAGAGGAGAGAAAGGGAGATGTATTTTGGTTGCATATACAATGCAACTTGAAGACTGTACCAACTAGATTTACGATTGGATCAGGGTGTTGGCTGATGGCGGTGGAATGACTCAGTAACTTACGCATATCTTTGGTACAATAAATCATTGTCATAGGATACGCAATGAAACGTTTATTTTCTCTCTTTCCGTTTCTTTAATAAAAAAGATACCAGCAATGAGACTAGGCAACCGAACGAAAGAAGGAGAAAGAGAAGATATGTGAAAGCCGAGACCGACTTTATCGTCGTCGCTGTCGCACGTGTTCGCGTCTGTTTCGCCCCGCAGCTTAGTCGAGCGTAGATTCGACGACGACAAGACGTGGACGTCGACGATGACGCGACGCACGTGCAAATGTGCGCGTCGCGTCGCGGATGCAGCTGACGCACCAACGTCAAATGCAACTAATGCGCGCCTTGATCTCGCGCTGGGCCACGCCACGCCACGCCCGGCACCGTTTCGCCGTCTTTTAACCCCGCTGATTTACCGTTCGAGATTGGGGGTGCAGCCCGCAAAACTCGACTCGTGACCTCGCTCCCGATCCGGGGGACCTTAATCGCGGCAGCGATCTCGTCGACGCGGGATAAGCCCGATTGTCCGACGAGATCACCGCCAGTGTGTTCCCGATCACGTCAGATGTCACCGGCAATCGGTGCCGCTTTTTGTTCAGCTCTTCCCTGTCTCGTTCTACGTTTTATTTCTCCAATAACCGCGCTACAGTGATCGCGGCATTGTTTTTGGGCCGTCGCCGTGAAGGCATGCGATGCGTTTAAACGTTAAATAAAGCGCGGAGCGACATACGATTCTCAGTGGGTCAGTATATTTTCGAAACTCGTCATGCGCGAGTTAATCCTTAAACTGGTGATATTACTCGTCGCGACGTTATCGCGCACTGTGCGATATGTTCCATATATTTTTCCTTTATATATGGAGAATGTAGGATAAAACTTAATCGAGAGGTAGTATTTTAATTAGAAACTAGGTAAGCGTTACTAATAGATTCAAGAGGAATAAAATGAAACGCATAAAAGAGAAAAAAGAACATGGGAAACTGGATATCGCGGGTTAAAAGATTCAAAACAACTCGGAGGTTGTTGTTTTCCAATAAATAGCGCGATCGATAAGCCGGTTGCAGTGATTCAATGTCTGTTTAAAAATAAGCACAAGCACGGTTAGCTCGGTGCTCGGGCTAGTCGTTATCGGTTGCCACGGTACTTTGGTCTACAAAGCCGCACAAGAACACCGAATAATTACGCGGTAATAATCCCCGGCCGATAAGGATAAATTAACTTCGCTGCGGCCCTTTACGCAGCGCGGTGTAGTCCATAAGGATAATATTAACGAGCCAAGTTTAAGTACATTTTTCGCGT